CTCCCCTCTTTTTGCCATCAGCATGTCTACCTGCGGCCTTCCCGGGTGGCTCAGTGGTAAAGAATCCGCCTGCTACGCAGGAGATGCAGGTTCAGTCCCTGGACTGGGAAGAGCCCCTGGAGGAGGAAATGGCAACCTGCTCCGGTATTCTTGCCTGGAGAATTCCATGGATAGAAGAGACTGGTGGGCTACAGTCCATGGGGTCGCAGAGTCAGATGTGACTGAGCAACTAAACAGCAACAACAACAAATGTCTATCTGGAGGTGATATGTAAGTAAAGGGGGGGAGGTGGAGGGAGGGGTAGGCAGGGTTCCTCCAGGCCGATTTTCAGGGCCCAGGGGCCAGGGAGCAGAGTCTACTACTTCTGCTGCCCTTCCACTGAGCAAAACTGACTTTAAGTGCCTGGGAAATGTGACTCCCAATATGTTCAATTATGTTTGCAGTGACTGTAAACCCACTTGCTCCTGCTGAAAAACAAGAGCTGGAGCGGTCTGTGGAGTCCTGGAAAGAAACTGTCATTTTGAGAGTCAGCCAGGAAGAAAAGCTTCAGAAGGCGGGTTTGGAGGTTTGGTTACCCGTATGAGCCCCAGTGATGGATGGCGTGGGTGTTTTATGACTGCTTGCAGGGTAGAGTGTACAGCCTTAGCATCCCTTGACGTGGCTCTGTAGTCTTAAATACTTTAATATGGCAGTCTAGTCTTTCTTGACCCTTCCAGAAAGAAATCACCTGTGCTCTTGGGCCGACAGTTTCTGCTTTATGTATTTCTATCACATCATCTGTGGGCTTCCCCTGTGGCTCAGCAGTAAAGAATCCACCAGCAATGCAGTCGCCATGGGAGACCTGGGTTCAATCCTTGGGCGGGGAAGATTTCCTGCAGGAGGGCATGGCTACCCACACCAGTATTCTTGCCTGAAGAATCCCCATGGCCAGAGGAGCCTGGCGGGCTACAGTCCATAGGGCTGCAAAGAGTCGGACACGCCTGAAGCGACTTAGCAAGCACACATCACATTATCTGTACAACTCTGTTGAGCTTACTTTTCATTCTTACATCCCCTCATGTGCCTGCATGCTCACTCAGTCATTTCTGACTCTTTGCTACCCTATAGACTGTAGCCTGCCAGTCTTCTCTGTCTATGGGATTTTCCAGGCAAGAATACTGGAGTGGGTAGCCATATCCTATTCGAGGGGATCTCCAGACCCATGGGTCGAACCCATGTCTCTTGAGCCTCCTGCATATTCTTTACCACTGATTCCACCTGCTAGAAGGTAAACTCCTCCAAGCAGTGACCTTGTCTCTACATGGCAACCCCAGTTGCTTCCACGGTGCCTAGCATGGGATGTTGAGTCAACAAATACTTTTCTTTGAGAGCTATAAATTTACTGTTTTTCTCAAATGGAATGTTTTGAAAGTCAGCCTCTATGAAGGTAACCTGGACAGTGCCCTTTGACCAAAATGGGAAAGTGGATTTGGACTTTACACCTCTCTCCAGGAGAGGTATAGAGCCAGACATCCTTAATGTTAGTAAGGTCCTTAGATGTGCAAGCAAGAGAAGAAAACACTTTCTGATGAATGGAGCAATGGGCTGCCCTAGAGATGGCAATTCCAGAAGCATACTGGAAATGGTTCATAGAAAAGAATTAGCCATCTGCCAGGGATGCGGTGGCAGGAAAGTCTGATTTTGAGGAGGACACTAGGCTGGTTTGCTGATCCTCGTGAAGAAGAAGCATGGCAGGGTCTGTGGTGACTCATGAGTAACAAAAGCCACGAGAATGTGGTGTCTCTGTCCTATGAGCTATTAGGAAAAAAGGTCCACTACCATTACTGGTGTGATTACAGATGTATTGACAACATTTGAGCTACACAAGTGAAAAATGGAGAAGAAAACTTGTTTCATACGTCTAATCGCTTTCTTAGTCCTTTCAACAACAACCAAACCCTGATTCCATAACTTATTTTTCCAAGTTAGCCTATGGCAACCACTTGTGCTCTGCGTGCGTGCTAGATCGCTCAGTCATGTCCAGCTCTTTGCGACCCCATGGACTGTAGCCCACCAGGCTCCTCTGTCCATGGGATTCTCCAAGCAAGAATACTGGAGTGGGTTGCCATTCCCTTCTCTAGATTTGTGCTCTCATGCCTGAGTATTCTAAGTGATCAAAAAAATCTTTTTTTGGTTGATTGATCGGTTCATTCAAAGTGACTACAAAAACACGTCTTTGTTTAATGAATGATTCAACAAACTAGTGACCTGTCCTTGACTCCAGGCTGGATGGCCTTAGTCAGTCTAGGTCTGGTGGTCATGACCTTTGCCTTCGACATCGCTCAGGGTTCTGGTGACCTGCCCCGGACAATCTTTAGTTTGCTCATGTCTCTCATAATACAACTCCCAGAGCTATACGTGGTCCTCCATCTTTTACTGAGTGGCACCCCCAGGATCGGGTTTTGTGATAAGCATAAGTTGAAACTGAAAACAACAAACAAAAATCCTGCTGTTCTGGAAGGCCAGGAGTTAGAGAGATGATGGCTTAAGTTTCTTTCAAATGCATCCAAACAGGATGGTTAAAAAACCAGAGGTAGGGGTAGGAGTTGGTGTATGTATGTAGGTTTTTGTTGCTTTCTAACCCCTTTGGCCAAAGTGGATGTTCTGTTCAGAGCTGGGCATGGCCTCTGAGCTCTGAGCCTGTGCCAAGCCCCAGGAGAGTGATCGGGAACTAGGAACGCAGCCAGCGAGTTTGAAGCACATTACATCAGACGTTTCCCGAGGAGGAAAGGAAGGCCTCCTAGAAAGCAGGAGGATTTTGGCTCTTAGAGACTGAATTCAGTAACTTTACCTCTTTGGTTGAGAGCCAATCCCCTAGCCAGCAGCTCTCATAACGTCTGCAAAAAAACTCAGATTCAAAGTCTCCAGCCCCTGCTTTACATGTTGACACCCCAGCTTTGTTTGAGAGATGTACCACCTTTCTGGGGGCAGGGACAGATTTTAGAAAAGGGGGGAGATTATAAAATCTGATTAAAGATTTTATAGGAACTTAAAAAAAAAACTTACTAAATTTCTCATTTTAAATTTGAGGGGCAGTGTTGACTTTGTAGTGGAAAATGATAAATCCTGGATTAGAACACAGCAAAAGGTTGCCATCTATCACTTTCCTTCCTTTGCAAGTTAAATAAAGCCATATAATGTGTGGTGGAAGTTTATTTGCTAAGTTGTGTCTGACTCTTGCGACCCCATGGACTGTAGCCCACCAGGCTCCTCTGTCCATAGAATTCTCCAGGCAAGAATACTGGAGTGGGTTGCCATTTCCTTCTCCAGGAGATCTTCCCGACCCAGGGATTGAACCTGGGTCTCCTGCATTGCAGGCAAATTCTTTACCAACTGAGCTATAAGGGAAGACTAATATAATGTGTAGGTATGGATATATTGGTGTTAGATATTAAATTTATAAATTAGAGCCTTGAGGTCATTTCTCAATTAACTTCAGAAATTGGCTTTTTCAGCCCAGAAATTTGATCTCAGTATCACTCAAAGTTAAATATCTTGTTAATCCAAAATTATGTGACTCAGAATATATTTAGAAAGGGAAATCTGTTGCCCAAAAAATACATTTGACACTACTGACTTTTTAAGTAAACTTATGCACTGCACTTTTGATATGTTTCAAACTTACAACACTGTGATTTTTATAAAGAAATAACTGCCAAATATCTAGGCTTATCATTGAAGGTTAGTTTTGAAATCTTATTTCCTCTCCTTTCTCTTCACTTTTCCCCACCCCCTCTGCAGAAAGTTTTATGTCATGTGTTGAAACATAAATATGTTGGGAAATTGTGGTTTGCAAAGATATTCTCTAAGCTATTTATGTAAAATCAGAAACTTCAGCTCTCAGTACCACATAGGCTACTGTGGACCACATGTGCTAACGCCTCTATATTCACTGCGCTGTTGCACTACTCAGATGATTAAAAAATACCTTAGTTAATAACACAGAGGCCCTGGCTACCTCTGCTCTGAATTTTTAAAGTTGAACCCTAGAGTGGAAATTGAGCTGGTTCAAGAGTCTCCTAGGGTACAAGAAAGAATAAGATACAAAGCATCTTTGCATGAATTATCATATCTGATACCCTTTACACCTGTGAAATACGGCACTTTTAGTAGGCACTTCCACAGTTCATCAATGGAGAGTCAGGACAGATAAATTTCAAAGTCCCCTAATAGGATGAAAATCCAAGTCTTCTGATGGATGCTTTTCCCACCGCAAACTCTACAATTTTAGGAGCGCTGGTGTACCAGGGGTGTACAGAGTGACGGCTGTGGAAACCCTTGAACGAAGGATCTGGTAAAGTAGCTGGTGTAAGTTTTCTCTGAATCTTCCCTCTAGATCTCTGGATACTTCATCTTCTCTTTTGGGAAAATTGATCTGAGACTATTTGATCCCTACCAAGAAGGGATGCTCACGACAGTCATAAAATATTTACAAAGCGCTTTAAGTTTCAGGGAAGTAAAGTTCCAGTCTGTGAGCATGGGAAACGCATCAGTAGTAGCAGGTGTCTTATCAGCTCACCCGAGGGTGCACACTTCACTCCTGACCTGTCTGTGTGCGAACACCTAAGGAAGTCACACATAAACACTTGGCACTTTTCTTTAGTTCCTGGGAATGGAGCGATACATTATTAGCGTGTCCAAGAAGGGACTTCAGGTGTGGGAGTGAGACGAGAATGAGGTGGCAGCGGGGTGGTGAGAAGGGGAAGGAGGGGAGTGCAAGTCAAAACTGATATCACCCAGGGAACCCAAGCTGTTAAGCTGCAGGGTCTGGACCACCTCTGCCCGTTCCCCTCGTGATGCCAACTGAGACTCTCTGGCCAGGTCTCGCAAAGGATTGTGCCAAGCTCCGCTGTGGCCAGGCTTTCTCAGTGACAAGAGACAGTGGGGCGCAGAGCTGTCCCTTTGGCATCCTTCACCATCACTAAGGCCACTGATCACATACGAAACTGACATCACGTGCATCGGTTCCTGAAGGTTCTCAGGATAGGGGGAGCCAGGGCGAGGGAAGGATACACAGACAGGGGGACACCGCCTCCTGAAATGCACACGGGATGCGCACAGGACAGTTCAGGACAGCCCGGGCGAGGCAGCCAGTTTGTGTTTACTTTCAAACCAAAGTGTTTTCCTTTGTGTATCATCACCTCTTCTTTCTCAGGAAAGCGACACAAAGTAACAGGCTTCAGGATACCATCTGTGTCCATTTTGACAGCAGTTCATGTCACAAGACACCATCATGTACTGTAATTATACAAAATGCAAAGAATAAAGTGTTGCTAGTTACATGGGTTAAAATGAAACTGACAGCCCAAAGGAACACAAAACAGAAAGAGATCTCTGTCGGAATCCAGAGGGATGCTTGACAATATTACCCCCCACCCCCGAAAAAAATGTAGCCAAATCATTGTCCTAGCATGCTGTAGTTCATTGCCACAACTTCATAAATTCCCAGCTCTTTGGGGGAAAGTGTGTGTTCATAGCTTGCAAAGAAATAACTTTTACATGTATGCAGGTCAACAGAAAAAAAAATGCAAACTCTAGGCACCAAGATTGCCCAATTAGCAATGGAGTCTAAAGAGTCAGACCTCACAGAGTCTTCTGAATCAGATCTAGTTCGTTGAAAAAGAATCTGGACAGTGATATTAGTCCAAGAGGGCCAAGGAAGAAACACTGAACCATTAATCAGGGGAAAAAAAATAAAATTAAAAAACTAGAACAATTAAGACTTAAATATTTTTTCTACTCTACTTTGAACCTGAATTACAGCTTTTCATATTTGGAAAAGATACGTGCTGGATCTGTGGGGAGAACCCCTTTTTCTACCCCCATCTACCCTGGGTTGGAGTACAGATATGATTGGTTCAACTTCCTTTAAGCAGAAGTGCTATTTCTTCATGTGTGGCCATACCTCTTTTTAACAATGAGGTATCATGTGACACTAACAATATCTGTTCCTTTTTGGGCTATGAGTTTGATCAACAGTGTGGGCAGAAAACAATGTAATGTTCTGATAAAATCACACAGGTACAAAAATTATTGCACTTAAAAACAACAAAAAAAAACTCAGCCCAGCCAGCAAAGGGCCAGTGAAACTCTTCGGAAGTGTGCTGCCTGCCCTCTGCAGAGCGTCTGGACCTTTATGGTGTTCGGTCGAATTTGGTCCATTATTGAATGTCCAGAAATGAAAGAGTCCAAAAGACACAGTAGGCTCTTTAAGGCTAAGTCTTCCCGGTGCTCATATGAGATAAATTATCTCCTTGGCCACATACTACAAAGTGGGGCTCTTTTTTACCAAGTGGCTAGTAGGGCCCCCCTAAAAACTCTGGGAGCAAAGGGGGATGGGTACACATCATGTTCTGTCCTGTGAATGAGAGAGAGAGAGAGAGAGAGATGGTAAGTAGCCTGGGAGAGCAAAGCCACTCATCAACAACCCTGTGGCTGGAAGTGCTTTGATCACCTCCTGACTCCATCACTAGCTCTCACTACCCTCAACCCCACAGCCCATGAGGATGCGGGCTTATCTGTGCCTCTTTCTCTGGGTAAGTCCTCCTTTCTATGGCTCTGAATGTCTTTCCCTCTACTTGCAAATTTGTCTCTGTCTGTCTTCCTATGGAGAGGAGCCTAGTGGGCTACAGTCCATGACGTCTCAAAGAGTCCTTCGGTCGTGTCTGAAGCGACTTAGGACACACACATGTCTCCTCTTATTCTTTATCCTTTCTGCATCCTTGTGCTTCCTGTCTCTCTTTGTTGATGGATGTAAAGGACCAATGCTAATCCTGTCCTGGTACGCACTGGTCCACATCCTTTCATACTTCCTCAAGGCACCCCTCTCCTTTCTCTCTCTGTCAATGGTGCCACCAATACCAATATATTCAGACACATGCCTCTGTTTACTGAACTGAATTACAAGATTATTTGTTACTTTAGCCACAATTATTTGCACCTCCAAAATCTGATCTCCTAGGAAAATGTGAGAACAAGGTACTGACTGTGGTATAATTTTTTCATGATGTCCTCAAGTAAGTGCTCATATAATAGACAAAATCAAGGCATTTCCAAACTCCGATAACCTGAGACTATTGTCAATATTGTTTTTCTTCTTTGGGCATGTTGACTTCAGTTCATATTTTCTTTGTAACTCTTTCTATGGCACTTGTAGTCAACAAAATTTTTGCATAAAGAATCTAGACAAGTAGTGATGGTGGTTTAGTCGCTAAGTCATTTCCGACTCTCTTCTGACCCCAGGGACTGTAGTCCACCAGGCCCCTCTGTCCGTGGGATTTTTCCAGGCAAGAATCCTGGAGTGGGCTGCAAGTAGGGTTGGATGGTAATATCCTGTAATTTAAGGTTCAGGCAGGAGGGAGTGGACTTCAAATCTTTATGAGCTGCTGAAGCTCCTGCATGCCACACTCACCAAGCAAGGCACAGTGAAGCTCTAAGATGTGCTACTGTGCCTCTCCCTGTGGCCAACACTGTGGGGGCCGGGTCAGTGCAAATAGCTGCTGACGCCTTTGCTTTATCCCATCATATGCTCTCTCACTGTTCTAAGACAGGGTGCCCATGACGGGCTCTTCTCTACTTACTTGTTGGGATTCTGAGCTAGGAATTGCTGACATTCTCATAGATGACGTCACTGATACAGAACTGCTGCTTCTTCTTCATCCACATCAGTTGCACACACTGATGGATAAAAATGTACTGTTCCTGAAGCAAAAGATAAAGATGTTTTAGAGCAAGCTATGTTTATGCAATGACTTCCCTGATAGCCAGTGATTAAGATTCCGTGCTTCAGCTGCAGGGGGCATGGGTTCAATCCCTGGTCAGGGAACTAAGATTCCACATGCCATGGGGCATGGCCAAAAATAAAAAAAAGATATGTTTGTGCAAAAATATAACATTTTAATACTACGGGAGTATTAAATACTATGATGAATGTCAAAGGAAACAATCTTCATTATTTGTAAAACAATTTCAAAACTAGAAGATCCAAAAGAATCAACTGTAAAAATATTTTGTTTAGTAATAGAGTTTAGACTATCACTACTTAGTGCTAAAGGCAATGAATATTCAATCAGTAAATCATGGGGCTATTTTCAAAAAAAATTGCACATTGCCTCATAATACACTGAAATAAATTCCAGGAAGGTTAATAAATTAAGCCATAAAAATATAAAGGCATATATAGATTAATTCTTCTCTGATTACTATAAGGAAGGGCTTTCTAAATTTTTTTTGGCCATGCCATACTCCATATGGGATCTTAGTTCCTGGACTAGGGACCAAATCCACACCCCCTGCATCAGAATCACAGAGTCTTACCACTGGCTCACTCAGGAGGCCCCTGGGCTTTCTAAACTTTAAACAACAAAATAAATTAGAACAAAGATGTCAAACTGTTGTATGTAAAAAACAGAAAAAAGAATAAAATAAAGGGCAAACTAGACTCAGAGAGAAAAATACTTTCAAGAATTATGACAAATGTAGATACCTTTATCTTTGTTTAAAATTCACCCACATCAGTAACACACTAACACACACACTTAACTTGGCAAATAAATAAAATATACTAACCACTAGACCAAATATTCCTGAAAGGCAGGGACTGGGTCTTTTTTAGTCCTAATACCCAGCACTTTGTTTGTACTTACTAAATGTTTTTCGGAGTAAACTGAGAAAATATTAAAACATGTACAAAAAAATGGCCAAGTAATAAAAAAAATTGTAAACTAAGACAATTATTTTTTTTTAATCTATGAAGTGAGTAAAGCTAAACAAAAAGTAGCATTCAATGATGATTTGAATTTGTTGAAGCAGCCATTTTTAACCAGTNTCACATGTATTTTTTTTTTTCTTTTAATTGGGGGAAAATATACTCCCATATTTCATGACAATATCACATCAGTAACTGAGCTTCCCTTTCTCATTATGACAAATCCCTCCATGGTCTCTGGTGTTGAGTCAAGCACAGGGCATTGATAAGGGCAGAGAGTGCCTGATTTCTCAACCCATAATGAGGCAGTGGTGAACCTTTGTGTCAAAAGTAAATAAGTAAATTTAGTAGTTAGGCCGCAGGAAAAGTAAACAAAAGACTATTAACAGACATATATCTGAGAGTTCAGGAGAAATCTAAGCTGCCTATCAGGAGGCCTGGAGGCTCAAAGCAAGGCCCTACCTAGCGGACCTCCAGAGAAAGCTTGTTAGAGGAAAATGAAAAAAAAAAACCTTTGATAAAAACAGAGGAGAGCCCAGGGGAGGTGAAGGCCATCCACACTTTGTAGTTTCAAAGCGCTTATCTTGATGGTATCGGTTCATCTGATGCATACTTTACAACAAACAATGCGTGAACGTTGTCCCTTGCATTTTATAGATGAGAGATGGGAACTTCAAAAAACATCTTTAAAAATTTTTTTGACTTTTTAAAATGGGCTACAATCCATGGGGTCACAAAGAGTTGGACATGGCTGAACGACAGAGCACATAACTGATTTATGTGTACTAATCCGCTTCAGTGGTGTCCAACTCTTTGCAACCCCATGGACTGTAATCCACCAGGTTCCTCTGTTCATAGGAGTCTGCAGGCAAGAATACTGGAGTAGGTTGCCATTCCCTCCTCCAGGGGGATCTTTCCATCGCTGGGATTGAACCCGAGACTCTTAAACGTCTCCTGCATTGGCAGTTGGGTTCTTTACCACTAGCATCACCTGGGAAGCCCTAGTTGTGTTCATTTTGGATGTACAGGAAAGTTATTTAGCTATACATGCATCTATGTCTTTTATTGTAGATTCTTTTTCTTATAGGTTGTTACAAAATGTTGAGCAGAGTTCCCTGTGCTATTCGCATGGTTCTTGTTGGCTATCTATTTTATATATATGTGTGTATCTGTTCGTCGGAATGGGAGCTTTGAGAGGTGAAGTGAGTTGTGCGGAGGTCAAGCTGGGACTCAGGCCTCTCGCAGAGTCTGATCTGACCACTCTCCTCTCTGTTCTCATGTAGGGACCCACATGGCGCATCTGCTCAGGTGAGAAAGAGGACGAGGGTTCATCATGATACAGCCCATGCAGCAGGCACCTGAAATGTACATCTGAGGGCATGGTCAAATTAATCAGTGACTTCTGCTCTTTGTAGAGGGGTTGGAGTGAAGGGCCATCGAGAGGACCTGGAAAAATCAGAAACTAGCCTGGAGGTAACCTGCACACGGCACTGTGGTTTCTGTATTTACACGGATTCAGCTGGAGAATTACTCTGGCTTCTTGAAAACCATTAGTGTCAAAGGAGTGCTTTGGGATACTGAAGGAAAATAATTGTTTACTCAGCTCTTTTTATTTATTACCATCAGTAAACTAGGAGGCTGCAGAACGGTGGCGTGAATGAGCTCAAGGAGCATGTTAGGAAAAATCCTAACATTCAAGTTACAGGCTGAACCACAAAGAGCATAGGAATAAGGAAAAACAGAGGTAAATCAATGGGCAAGATGTTCCAGACATGACTAAGGACGAAGCTGACATAAATAAACAACTTGAACTAGAGAGGATCCCAGCAAAATCCTGAGGGAACTTGAGAGTGGACTGGAACAGCTGGGAAAAATAAGTGACCCGTGGTGACCTCTGCCTCTTTTGCAGACCTTGAATTTTCCCACGTGAGTTCAGGGAAGGGATATCATACTTAAAAAAGACAATCTTCCCTGGAGATGTCGACCTAAAATACTACCATAAACAAAGCAGCAATCAAAATTTGAGGAAAGAAAGTTAGGGAGAAAATTAGACTTTTTCTCAGCTTTGCAGAAAGGCACATGGTGGCAGCCCTGTCTCATGTCCACACCAGAAGAAGGATAATGATGCTGGAAATCAGATGGAGGGTCTGCTATGTGAAGGTAGTTTTTAAAAAGGGATTAAGATTCTGTTGTTGGAAAGTTGAAAGCTAACAGGCTATAATCACAGTCTATAAAATTATAAAAGGTATAAATTAAGTCAATGGGGGCAGACAATTCATCAAATCCAAAATACTTAAAATAAGGAGTGGCCCTTTGAAGCTTGGGGATTAATATACGTAATAGGGAGTTTTAATCACATAGTAGGATATGGATTTATGTAAGCGAAAACCAAAAATACAGACAGATTCATAAAGCAATGTTTAATTACTAGGTAGTTGGGCTTGTCTGGGAAACCCGGACGTTTTTAAACTTATGATAACAAGGTGATGTTCATGTCCCCACGGCAGTAAATTAGAAGGCAGCTGGGCTGGGATGTGAGTGATCTCAAGGAGGACACTAATAGATGTCTTGTTTCCTAATCATCCCTGAGCCATCTGAACGTGAATGAGTTACTGTTTCCAAAGTGCTATGATGTTGCTATAGCTCAGAAATAAACACATTGGAATGAATGGCTGTGCAGAACCTTGGCCAGATGGGAAAGGGCAAGGGGAGGGAGAAAACCGGAAGCATTGACAGGAGCCAGGACAGCAGGCTTTTTGCGCTACACTGCCATCTAGTGGTGGTTGCGGGAAAAGCAGAGGGAAGAGGTAGGCAGGCTTTAATCCCTTGGGAAGTGAAATCAGCGGTCAGGCCAGGTTGTATTCTATCCCACAAGTGTTCCTCCCACACACACTCCTGGAGAAGGAGGATTATTATTGTTCGCCTGAAGCTAAGAAGTTGCGAGAACGGCTGGGTGACTAAGATTACCAAGAAGCTATTGTGCTCTGGCTTGGGGCACACACAGGTGCACACCCACTGGTGCTCCGAGGCTGTGATGCGGTGTGCGGGCACCGGGCGGGGCTGCCATTCCAGCCTGAGTGCATTTCCAAGGCTTCACGGGAGGAGAGGGCTTGGGAGAAGAGGAGGCCCCAGGAAGGGGGCAGGTAGCCCTGATGGCTATTTCTGGAGATGTGTTGTTACAATAGGAATCCATTTATTTAGCCCAAGGAGACTGGCTGTGTTGGTGGATGAAGGGTTGGAAATCCTTAAAATCATAAAGATTTTATCTCATCAGAAAGCACATGTGCAACACATATTATCCTCACAAGTGAACGGAGTCACACGAAGGGCAAACTAATGACAAACTTACAGAATTGAGTCTAGCATTTTAAATAGAAATTCAATCACACCAATTCCAAAGTCTTCACTTGGTGGCATTTCCCCAGATGGCTGTTACCCTCACTGAATTCTCGGTCTGTTCAAAGAGGTTTTATTCCATTATGGATACATCCATGTGCTCTGGCTTACTGGAGGGCATAGGACACCAATAAAAGTGTAGACACTATATACCGAATGGTTATCTGTTTCTTTTATACCTTGGAGCAGTTTGAATGTGCACAATAAGAAACTGGGAACAGCAAATGCAAAAAACCATTTTGAGACAATGGTTTTGAAATATGAGATTGAATAGTGGAAAGTTTTTCAGTCAAGCCCAAATTTAAAAATACCTATGATTCGGTTCCTACCTCGGTCTGTACCATAGACATCCGATATGACCGCATTTCTGACACCAGCCCCAGGATGTCGACAAACTCATGATCCCGAATGTGCTGCAAGAGTCTGTCCAGGGCGATGAACGTTCCCGTCCGACCGACTCCAGCACTGAAAAAGAGGTTCCGATATCACGTCACTTATAGACTGCCCTTGTACATTGTTTGAGGGGCTCCCTGGGGCTCCCCAGTGGCTTAGAGGTTAAAGCGTCTGCCTGCAATGCGGGAGACCAGGGTTCGATTCCTGGATCAGGAAGATTTCCCTGGCGAAGGAAATGGCAACCCACTCCAGTGTTCTTGCCTGGAAAATCTCATAAACGGAGGAGCCTGGTGGGCTATAGTCCACGGGGTTGCAAAGAGTGGACACAACTGAATGACTTTCGTTTCACTTTCACTTTCTACACTTTTGGAAACAAGTGATAAAATCCACCAAAACTATAGGTACCATCATTGAGAAAAGAGAAGACAAAATTGACAATATTTCCCAACTGATTTTTTTTTAATCATATTTATTGATTTTGGCTATAAACCGGGTCTTCGTTGCTGCCCCGGTCTTTCTCTGGTTGTGGCGGCCACTCTCCAGTTGTGGTTTGACGGCTTCTCATTGTGGTGGCTTCTTCTATTGTGGAGCAAGGGCTCTAAGGTACGCCAGCTTTAATGGGTGCAGTTCCCAGGCCCTAGAACACAGGCTTAGTAGTTGTGGTGCATGGGCTTACTTGCTCATCAACATATGGAATTTTCCTGGATCAGGGATCAAGCTCATGTCTCCTGCATTGGCAGGCAGATTCCCTACCACTGAGCCACCAGGGACGCCCTTATTTTTTAAAAACCCTTTATTTTATATTGGAGTACAGTTGCTCATCAACATATGGAATTTTCCTGGATCAGGGATCAAGCTCATGTCTCCTGCATTGGCAGGCAGATTCCCTACCACTGAGCCACCAGGGACGCCCTTATTTTTTAAAAACCCTTTATTTTATATTGGAGCACAGCTGATTAGCAATGTGACAGTTTCAGGGGCACAGCCATGGGACTCAGCCATACGTATACATGTATCCATTCTCCTCCAATCCTTTCTCATCCATCCCTTCTCATTAAGTCTTCCACATAACATTGAGCAGAGTTTCATGTGCTATACAGTAGGACCTTGTTGGTTATCCATTTAAAATATGGCAGTGTGTACTCTTGAGAGTCCCTTGGACTGCAAGGAGATCCAACCAGTCCATCCTAAAGGAGATCAGTCCTGGGTGTTCATTGGAAGCACTGACGCTGAAGCTGAAACTCTAATACTTTGGCCACATCATGCGAAGAGTTGACTTATTGGAAAAGACCCTGATGCTGGGAGGGATTGGGGGCAGGAGGAGAAGAGGACGACAGAGGAAGAGATGGCTGGATGGCATCACCGACTCAATGGACATGAGTTTGGGTAAACTCCGGGAGTTGCTGATGGACAGGGAAGCCTGGTGTGCTGCGGTCCATGGGGTAGCAAAGAGTGAGACACGACAGAGTGACTGACTGAACATGCCCATCCCAAACCTCATAACTGTCCCTTGCCCTCATCCTTCCCTTTTGGCAACCGTAATTTCTCTGTCTGTGAGTCTATTTCTGTTTTGTAAATAGTATCACATGACATCCTTTATACAGGAATCTAAAAAGAAATGATACAACTGAACTTATTTACCTCCCCGATGTTTAAGTATGCAGTCCTGGTTGATGTGTCTCCTAATGTCAGTTTTATCACTGCTCCCTCCCTTAGACTGCTGTGGGTCTGCCTTAGCCATCTGTCGCCCTCCTGCCCCTGGGCTCCCTATTCCTTAGGAAAGTGAGGATTCATATGGAACCTGCTGGAACCAGCAGGAACCAGGCAGGAACCAGCCCTCAAGGAGATGACGATGTTGTTGTTTACTCACTAAGTTGTGTCCAACTCTTTTGCAACCCCATGGACTGTAGCCCGCCAAGCTCCTCTGTCCATGGGATTTCCCAGATAAGAATACTGAAGCAGGTGGCCATTTCTTCCTCCAGAACATCTTCCTGACCCAGGGATTGAACCCATGTGTCCTGCTTGGGCAGGTGGGTTCTTTACCACTGAGCCCCCAGGGAAGCCCAAGAAGCTGATACATGTAAACAATTCCAGCCTTCTGAGGAGCCTCAGAGTTAAGTCCTCCTGCCCAGCTTTAAAGTCTAGCTGAGATGCCCGCACTCTACTCTAGTGCTGGGGCCATTCAGCCCTAGGTGAAGTTTACCATCTCAGACCTTCCTTAGAGCACGTCTGCCCTGCTGGTGGGTGCTGGTCCGCTGCAGTCGCCCAGGGATCTTTGAGATAATTGCCTCAAAATCAGATTTAATATTTGGATCCAATATCTTTCAGTCCCCAAGTCCCAGGACTCCGAGTATAGAGGGAAGTGGAGTGATTCAGGCTAACCAGTTCATCGCCACAGTCCCCAGTGTCACAGATAAACTCAGCTCTCCTTTCCTTCCAATCACTCACGGACTGAAGTGCCAGCTGACTCTGAACTCTGAATTGTGAGGAAATGCGAGAAAAAGAAAGGGCTTCCCTGGTGGCTCAGATGGTAAAGAATCCGCCTGCTAAGGCAGGAGATGCAGGCTGGATCCTTGGGTCAGGAAGATGCCCCTGCTTAAGGAAAGGTGACCCACTCTAGTCTTCTTGCTGGGAAATCCCATGGATAGCGGAGCCCGGTGGGCTAGTCCATGAGGGTGGCAACGAGTTGGACATGACTCACAACACACGCACATGCACACAGGAGAAAAAGGAAATGAAGAGCAATCAAAAGCAATCTACTTGTGAGATTTGCTGGGAGAGAAATCCAACATGAAAAACCACAAGTTCAGAGCCCTGATTTGCTTTTTCTACCAGGCAACTCTTCTCTCTTTATCTTCTCACGTAAAATGTTTCTGGGCCTGGGTGAACACTCATGAAGCCACATCCAGAACTGTACCTGCTCCCTGCATGAAAGGAGGCCACGTGTCTGACCTCAGGGTTGAGCAGCTTTATTTTCTGCTCTTGGAAGGAAGCATTTTGAGACAAGGTAACCTCATCCAGTGAAGCAAAGCATTTTGGCCTGGGAATGACTGACAGCAAGTGTAGCCTCTCTTCCTCAGAAACTTGGTAGCTTATGAAGCATTTTTCTTTCCAGGGAGAGACACACCTACCCCCTGCACAACCCTACTCCTACCCCTCACCCACCCATACACACACACACACACACACACACACACAGAGTTAGCCATTCTAGCTCACAAAACTCAAAGTGCTAGACCCAGGCTTATTGGCTGCCAATGCCTCTTCTGACTTCTTTGTCTCACTGCTACCTCTGATAAACAATGTTGTTGTTGTTTAGTCACTAAGTCATGTCCAACTCTTTTGTGACCCCATGAACTACAGCCCGCCAGGCTCCTCTGTCCATGGAATTTTCCAGGCAAGCATACCGGAGTGGGTTGTCATCTCCTTCTCCAGGGGCTCTTCCCAACTCAGGGATCAGATTTGTGTCTCCTGCATTGGCAGGTGGGTTCTTTACTGCTGAACCACCTGGGAAGCCCTAAGATAGCCATATTATATGTAAATCACGTATTTAGTAAGACTTCGTTCATCATAATTTTTTAAACTTTTTAAAATTATCTTTTTAATTGGAGGATAATTACAATATGGTGATGGTTTTTGTCATACATCAACATGAACCAGCCACAGGAATACACATGTCCCCCCCCTCCTGAACGCCCCACCCACCTCCCTCTCTACCATCTAAATTTTTAAAAAGCATAACTCATTGACCAGCTAATCCAATCTGATCAGAGGTTCATGGAAAGACGGGCAATGCCCTCCACGACTTCTAAGAGCCAGCACCTTTGAGGAGGTTACCTGCAGTGCACGATCACAGGGCCTCTGCTCTTCGTAGCCTGCTGTCGGACCTTGTGTACAAACTGCAGGATGCTTTCTGCAGCATTGGCTGTGGGCACTCCGTGATCGGGCCACGCGGTGTAGTTAAAATGGGTCACATCCTGCATCTCGTCAGCCTTTGGGAGAAAAACAAGCATTAATCACTCCGTCCACCGTCAGGATGGCTCAGGCCTCCACGGCAGCTCTTGAGTGATGGGAAGGCTGCATTCCACTCCCGGTCAGCACACCTCCCTTTCTAGCTCTCAGCATTGTGTCCGGCACAAAGCTGGCCCTGAGAAAAACAAATACTAATTGTATAAAGCTTCAAACAGTAGGAGAAATAGGCTAATCCATGCCTGGGTTGTGATAAGAGCCTAAGCAGATCAGGGTTTGCATCCTCGTTCTGCCATTCAGAAGTTACATCAGTTCGGGGCAATGAATTAAACACTGGAAGATGCGGTTGGTGGCCAGCTTGGGTCTGCTTGGCCAGGTGATCCATTCTGTCTCCCTGGTGCTGCTAGTAGCATCTGGCTGCAGCCCCATCGCTCAGAGATGTCTCCCACTAAAGGGAGCTGCCTGTTGGAAAGTGCAGAAGAGATCAGGTTCTCAGGCTGAGGGCAGACCACAGTGACTGAGTGATGGATGTTGTTATTATTCAGTTACTAAGTCTGACTCCATGGACCACAGCACGCCAGGCTCTCCTGGAGCCTTTACTCTTTACTCTCTCTCTACTCTTTCCTGAAGTTTGCTCAAACTCATGCCCATTGAGTCAATGATACTATCCAACCATCTCATCCTCTGCCACCCCCTTTTCTTTTTGTGATTAAGTAAGTAAGTGTTAGTCGCTCAGTCGTGCCCAACTCTGTGACCCCACGGTCTGCAGCCCACCAGGCGCCTCTGTCCATGAGATTTTCCAGGCAAGGATACTGGAGTGGGTCACCACTTCCTTCTCCAGGGGATCTTCCCAACCCAGGGATCGAACCCGGGTCTCCTACACTGCAGGCCGATTCTTTACCGACTGAGCTACAAGGGAAGCCCCTTTGTGATGGATATCAGGGAGCAAAATGTCAGGCTAGGATAATTCTCCTGTCCCTCTCCTGCTTCCCTTTCCTTGTATGGATTTTACCCAATATTACGCTTTCAAAAAACCCCATGTGTGACAATCCCTGTCTTGGGTTCTGATACTAGGGGACCTAACACAAGATGCACTCACTGAATACCAGTGTTCTCTTACTTGAAGAGGGTCTCATGATACTTTTAACAAGGGTTGTTGTGCGGATTAAGTGTGAGCGTGTCTGTGAAGGGTGGTTTCTGTTACATAGTCTTATCACTGCTGCTACTGCTAAGTCGCTCCAGTCGTGTCTGACTCTGTGTGACCCCATAGACGGCAGCCCATCAGGCTCCCCCGTCCCTGGGATTCTCCAGGCAAGAACACTGGAGTGGGTTTCAAGTGATCCATTCTGTCTCCCTGGTGCTGCTAGTAGCATCTGGCTGCAGCCCCATCGCTCAGAGATGTCTCCCACTAAAGGGAGCTGCCTGTTGGAAAGTGCAGAAGAGATCAGGTTCTCAGGCTGAGGGCAGACCACAGTGACTGAGTGATGGATGTTGTTATTATTCAGTTACTAAGTCTGACTCCATGGACCACAGCACGCCAGGCTCTCCTGGAGCCTTTACTCTTTACTCTCTCTCTACTCTTTCCTGAAGTTTGCTCAAACTCATGCCCATTGAGTCAATGATACTATCCAACCATCTCATCCTCTGCCACCCCCTTTTCTTTTTGTGATTAAGTAAGTAAGTGTTAGTCACTCAGTCGTGCCCAACTCTTTGTGACCCCATGGTCTGCAGCCCACCAGGCGCCTGCATCCATAGGATTTTCCAGGCAAGAGTACTGGAGTGGGCTGCCATCGCCTTCTCCAGTCTCATCACTACTGCTACGTAATTACTACCACTTGTTCTCATCCAGCTCAGTGCATTTCTTTTCTTAAAACTGTTATTATTGTTAAACATTCTCCTTTTATTTATTTTTTTGGCCAAGCTGGGCAGCATGCAGGATCTTAGTTCCCCGGCCAGGTCTCGAACCTGTGCCCTCTGCGGTGGAAGCACAGAGTCTTAACTGCTGGATCGCCAGGGAAGTCCCCAGCATAGTGTGTTTCAGTGAGAGGTTCTTGGAATCCCAATAAGTGGATATTTTCTATATTTTCCTATTCATATGAACCCATACACCAAACATATTATTATTCTCTCTAATCTGAGTAAATAATAACTAAGGTATCTGTCCTTCAAGAATTACTTGCTTTAGCCCCTACTACCTTATAAGCATAAAGTATTATTCTGCTCTTGTTATCAACTACTAGAAATATTCCAAATCCAAGCTTCACAAAGATCTAATGCATCCTTCATCTCCCAAACTTGCTAAGACTCTTGAATCCACTCAGGAGATGGAATATTATATTGTAATTTGGAAGAATTTGTCTGGATACAAAGTTTAGGTTTTCAGGTATTTAGGTTTTCAGGTAAGAGAAGTGAATTTCAAAGAGTCTGTGGTCTTGGGTGAGGTAAAATTATAAAAATAAATAAGAATAAATAAAATATAACATTTGTGTATATGTGTGTGTGTGTGTGTATATATATATATATATATATATATACATATATATATATATATCAGCACTTAAACTAGATCCACTGTCTCCTTGGCCTAAGGCCACACATCCCCAGCCACATTCAATGCCTCCTTCTCTGCACAGGTTCAAGGACTTTGTCTTGGATACATCAAGCATGAAATCTGCAAAGATGCTGGCCAGCTTTACCGCTGTCTTCAGGAAGTACAGCAAGAAAGTAACTCAAGCAGAATAAATTGTGCAGAATGAATGAATTACTCAACACCAGGAGGATTTAAGGATACTTCATCACTACATAGCTGTGGTTGCCCAAAAAAGTTCATGAAAATGCTCTTTTCAAATGAGGATCACAGGTTGAGCACAGACTTGTACACTGTAGGATATACATGCATATATATAAATATATACAATCTTATATCTGTATCTTTATGTATATAGAATATATATAAAATCTCCTCTGGTTGATTTGACAAGGTATACAGCTAAAATATGCAAGTGGTTCAAAAATAGGAATTCTTTAAATTGTCATCCGTTTCTCTGTAGCTGCAAGGCAGAGGCCTTTGCATCAGATGGGTGATTCCTGTTAGCTGAATAGCAAGGCACAGGTCAATGGGAACAAACCAGTTTTTGCTGGGTTTTGGTTTCCACTTATTATTCAGTTCATGCCAAGTTTCAAGTACTGGAAAGTGATAGATTGTGTGTTATGGTCATTTTCCTCCTTTCTTACTAAATGAGAAAACCTTACTGGTTACATCTTAGCCATTCCAAAATGTCTCTGACTTTCTCATTTAGGTAATCTTATCTGGTTTTACTCTGAAAGATTCCATATAGAAATATGGAGGAGATAAAGAAGTGTATAAGCCAAAAATGAAAAAAAAAAAAAGTAAGAAAAAAATCTATTCTTCAGCAATAGCATGACAGTCTTTAGTTTAGCATTCATTGCAGGAGCTTAAAACTTAGATTCTGTATATATATGGCCCAAAGGGGGCACTCTGGGACCAGATGCTTGTGACTATAAAAATATTTCCAGAAAACTCTGTCATTAAACATTTTATTTGTCTGCTTGAAGCCCTTCACACGCTTGTCATTGAAAGGTCATCATTTAAGATCAAGGACAAGAAGTATAATATGAATCATACCATAACTGATGTCACTCTTCCCTGTCAAGAGAACATACCCTACGTTTGCTTTGCAATTTTTTTCTCCTATATGTAAAACCTAGGGAAAGATTTATTCTATTAAAATCTATTCTATATCTGTCTAGCAGTTTGCATTGCTTTCTGGTTGACATAGCCAAGACAGAAAGCAGAGTTCAAATAAAATTCCTATTGTTAAATATTTTCTCTGGTGGTTAAATCTGTTGATGTTTTCTTTTCTTTTTTTTTATCTGCTGGTTTCTTTTTCTTTTTTTTTTCATTTATTTTTATTAGTTGGAGGCTAATTACTTTACAATATTGTAGTGGTTTTTGTCATACACTGATATGAATCAGCCATGGATTTACATGTATTCCCCATCCCGATCCCCCCTCCCACTAGATCAACTAAACAGAAAATTAACAAGGAAACACAAACTTTAAATGATGTTTTCTTAATACTCTCTCATTCTTGAAAACATCCATTCACTGATTTTTTTTTTTTCATTTCACTAGATTATTAAGTGGCTAACCATTTGGATTAAAAGGATCATTATTTTTTAAGATTTTTTTTGATATGGACAATTTTTAAAGTCTTCGTTGAATTTGCTACAATATTGCTTCTGTTTTATGCTTTGGTTTTTTTTGCCAGGAAGCATGTGGGATCTTAGTTCCCTGACCAGGGATGAAACACACACCCTGGGCACTGGATGGTAAAGTCCTAACCACTAGATCACCAGGGAAGTCCCTATAAGGATTATCAAAACAGGATGCTTGTTTATGAAACTCATAGCACATGGAGGAGGCAGACACGAAATCAGAGAATCGTGACCACTTATAGTGCACTGTGATGAAATACACATGGGATTAGAGCTTGGGAGGAAAGGGAGGAGGGTCTCTTGAGACTAGGGAAGGCTTGATAAAGAGATGGCATTTGAGCTGACACTCTGAGTAGGGATGTCCTTAGAGAATAGGAGGAGATGAGCATTTCAAAGAGATGGAACAGCATGGAGCAGTTACACTGGGATCTGCCTACATTCTTAATGCAGCAAAAGCCACTGTTAACTGCTAGCAGTTAAGAAGGGATTTGTATCTTGTAAATATCAATAAATGGTGAGTTCTTGAGGGCTTATGTTATATTGAAATGAACGACCATTGTTTCCATTGTCTGTATTAAACAGTCAGCAAGCATTTTCTACAAAGGGCAGATAGATATTTTAGATTCTATGGATCATACAGTCAGTCTTTGCTGCAACTATTCAAGCCTGATGTAGGACAGAAATAGTCAAAATCAGTAAACAAGTTTGTGGCTATGCTTCAATAAAATGTTACTTATGGACACTGGTATTTGAATTATATAATTTCCATATAATACTTCTTGTGAAATAGTATTCTTCCTTCAATTTTTCCCAGCTTTTAAAAAGTAAAACTCATTCATAGTGCAAAAGCTTCACAAAGCAGGCTCTTTTTGTTCATCCCCTGATCCATACTGTGAGGAAGGGTTGTTTCTAAGCAGAGAATCAAGTTTTAATGAGGAAATGTCCTATTGTTCGTCTTCAACAGAGAGCACACTCCACTGGAGAACACAGTACTAGTAAAACTTCCCTCCTGTTTTTAGGACTGCTCTCTGTGAAGGAGCCATAAAGAAGGAACCAGGGTGATTGCGATTGATGTCAGCACCTAGCCTGGTACACCAACATTCAGCTTGAGCTCAAAAGTCTGCCTTCAGGAAAAATAGACTTTTCTGACATCCTAACCACCAGGAATCAACAGCATTTCAAAACAACCATGAAACCAGGATTAATAAGGTCCAGAAGTACCTTTGAAATAATAAAAACAAAACTACAACAAAATAAGAAACAAAGCCAAATAAAACCCAAACCACTATAATGTAAGTATATCCTTATTTTGCATATCCTCCTTATATTCATACACAGTCAGTATAAGTAGTGACAATACTTCTTTCCTTAGCCATGCTTGGTGAGCCATGGGTCACCGTGTCTTCTATTACCCTGGGTGAATCTGAGACGGAACAGTGCAGCCTTCTGATTCCATGTCCTCCAGCTGTCTAGACCAAGCATTTTATCCACATCACCCTCCAGGAGACGGGAAATAAGCACATTGTATGTGGCATCTTTCTCTTGGAGGAATTAGTGTCGCCAAGTCTAAAGCGCTCACAGTCTCCCAGGAAGGAGGATGGGTTTCCTGACCCTGGGGATTTCCTCAGCATGGGGACCTGAAGCCCTGCTCCGTGACTTACGTAGTTGATTCGGAAGTGTCTACAGGCCCAGTCGTCCTGCTCTTCCTCCGACATCATCTCCACCGTGATGTCACCATAAGCTATGGGCTCTTCTGTGAATGGCCAGTAATGATCACATTTCACCTGAAGGGACAACAGTATAACCTTTTAAGACCAACAGGCTGGGGAAGAAACAGTCAGTGATCACTTAGAGAAAGCAAATGACTCGCCTCTGAAGAATCGTATAGGATTACTGTGAGGATAAAGAATGAAGCAAGGGGAACATACACTTATGTAACGTATTCTCCTTTTTTTCCATCAAAGGGGCCGTCATAGTAACTAACTGCACAAACCCGTATGATTTTAAACATTTTTCTTGGGAAGCCTATAAAATTACACCCACACCTGGAGGATGATTGCTTTAGAATATGGTATCAGCTTTCGCCATAAAGCAACGTGAATCAGCCACAGGTACACATATGTCCCCTCCCTTCTAAGCTTCCCTTCCCCCTCCGCCCACAGTGAGCACATTCCCTGGCAGTGGCTGGTGCAGGTTTTACTGCTAAGTGGGACTGAAACGTTTACTTTCGAAGGATTGAAAGTACTCACCCTCCTCTTCTCATTGCACTGAGTGAGCATGACAATAATCGGGGACTTCTGTTGCAGGACCATCTTCCAGAAGTCGTTTCTGGTTTCAGGCAGCGGTCCCTGCGTGGCGATGTACTCCTGGGGGGAGTTGTACCCCTGGAAGGCAAAGACACAGTTGTTGCTTAATGAGCTGAAGTGAAAGACAGGCAGTCGTGTTCGACTCTTTGCAACCTCAAGGACTGTAGCCCACCAGGCTCCTCTGTTCGTGGAATTCTCTGGGCAAGAATACTGGAGTGGGTAGCCATTCCCTTCTCCAGGGGATCTTCCTGACCCAGGGATCAAACCCAGGTCTCCTGCCTTGCNGTCCACAAGTCTGTTCTATACATCTGAGTCTCTTTTTCTGTTTTGCATATAGGGTTATCGTTACCATCTTTCTAAATTCCATATAATAGTCTTCCTCTGGCTGGGGTAGAATTTGGATTCTGGCTTACTTCGCTCTGTATAATGGGCTCCAGTTTCATCCATCTCATTAGAACTGATTCAAATGAATTCTTTTTACTACCCCAGCCATTCTTTATTCTAAAATGGAATAATGGAAACTGTTCTTTATAGTTGAACGGCTTGGTGAAGAATGACTCTCTATTGAACTGTTCAACTCATCTCTGCAGCCGTAATAGTCTTCCTCTGGCTGGGGTAGAATTTGGATGCTTGGTTTTGTTTGTTTGTTTGTTTTTGGAGGCCTGATTTAAGAATTTTTAATTTTTTTTTTCTTACTTACAGGAATGTAATTGGCATTGATGTAGTCTGCTCCTTCTTCTTCATTCATGGAGATCAATCTCACTCGGCTAAAGTCATCTGTAAAGAATAAGGAGAAAAATATTAAAAGTCACAGCAGAAAGGTGCAGTTACTATGAAGAATAGTTTGGAGGGTCCTTAAAAACTAAACATAGAGTAACGATATGATCCAGCAATCCCATCCTGGGCACATATCTGGAAAAGATGAAGACTTTAATTTGAAAAGATGCATGCACCCTAATGTTCAGTGCAGCACTACTAACAATAGCCAAGACATGTAAACAACCTAAGTGTCTGTCAACAGATGAATGGATAAAGAAGATGTGGTAAACATGCAAAATGGAATTTCACTCAGGCATAAAAAAAGAACGAAATAATTCCATTTATAGCAACTTAGATGGACTAGAGATGACCATACTAAATGAAGTAAGTCAGATGAAAAAAGACAAATATCATAGATCACTTCTATGTAGAATCTAAAAAAGAAAAAGATGCAAATGAACTTATTTATAACACAGAAATGGACTCACAGATATAGAAAATAAGTTTATAGTTACCAAAGGGGAAATGAGTGAGGGGGCGGGGAGATGGGGGATAAATTAGGAGTTTGGGATTAACAGATACAAACAAAAGAGAAAAAAAAGAAAAACATTCAGAGTGTAATGAAGGCTTGTCAAGACAATTTTGTACTCAGTATTTGTACCCCAAATCAAGTTAAATGTGTCAGTGGTAGGGTAGGTAGATAAAATTTATTTTGGCTTTATATTTTAGCCATATCTCAATCTTAGTTTCTTGTTTATATAAATATCTCCCAACCACTATTTCCTCCCCACCAGCCCTCCTGTTCTTAAGAGTGGTCTCTAGATTTTGCAGGGAATTGTGGAGACTATGTACAGGAACTAAAATATCTGGTAGGTTGTTTGAAGGCTATCGAACAAAGCCTAAACCTAGGATTTCCATTTCACTCAAGTCTTCCCTGATAGCTCAGTTGGTCAAGAATCTGCCTGTAATTCAGGGGACCCCAGTTCGATTCCTGGGTTGGGAAGATGCCCTGGAGAAGGGAAAGGCTACCCACTCCAGTATTCTGGCCTGGGGAATCCCACAGTCCATGGAGTAGCAAAGAGTTGGACACGACTGAGTAACTTTCACTTTCAGGGATATCCAGAGAATTCACTACCTCTGGGAAGCCTAGAGAAAAGAAGATGGTGTTGATGGGTTTTTTGCAAATGGACTTCAAATGAAGATAATAAATCCTGAAATGCATACAGATGTAAGGTGTGAGATGATAATATTGTGCTGTGCTGTGCTAAGTCGCTTCAGTCTTGTCTGACTCTGTGCAACACTATGGACTGTGCAGCCTTTCAGGCTCCTCTGTCCATGGGATTCTCCAGGCAAGAATACTGGAGTGGGCTGTCATCCCCTCCTCCAGCGTATCTTCCTGACTCTGGGATCGAACCTGCAGCTCCGTACCTCCTGAATTGCAGGCAGATTCTTTACCACTGAGCCACCAGGGGAGCTCATGACAATATTAATCCTACCTAATTTTGTAAAAAACCCACAAGAAGGAGGCTTCTTTTTGTAAAGGTTTGCACTTTTCTCTTCTTTCCTAGCCCCTACTAGACTGTAGCAGAGAGGAATGCTAAATCTATATTAGAATGTGTTTTAATGGTCCTATTAAGTACTTTGTGTTACTTTTCCTTTGAATGTTGCTTTTACTGCGAGATCCTAAGGAACAGAAGAACTTGCCAGAAGTAAGAAAGAAGCCTTTTTCACACCTTGCATTTCCTTTCTATTTGCCTCCTTCCACTGTCAATGAATTGACTGAAAATAGATTATGAGCACAATTTATCTTATTCCTTATTTGGCTAAGATGCTTTGATCTCCAAAGGGTCAAAGGGTCAGTTTTTTCTGTTCAGATATAATTCATTTAAAAGCATGATAATTAAATCTTCCTACACACAACAAGATCTAATGATATCAAAGCACCAATGCGATCAATGCAATTGCAGACATGGCCTTGAGGATACAGATCATTCCTGGCCTGGCTAGAGATTGGTGGAACGGATTCATCTGGCATGACAGCCCTTCAGCCTTTGGAAGACAAGAGCAGGATCAGCATTATTGACTGTCTTACATGGCAGGATGTTTGTGTAACGATTTTTACATCGGTTCAGTGGAAGGTCTGCAGCAAAGTGTGGAATATCCAGCCCAATCAACTTCAATTCCTGTAAATGACAGAGAAAAGATTTAAGATTCCATCAGAGGGATTATTTGATAGAAGTCATTTGCAAAGAATAAGAAGAAAAATATTAAAAGTTAGAGTGGAAAAGTGTAGCCAGTATGTTGTACAGTGTAGAGTTTCCTTAAAAACTAAAAATAGAGTTACCACGTGATCTAGCAATCCCAGTCCTGTGGAACTGGATTACTGTTCACACTGGTTTATTGCTCATAGTGGATTGTTTTTCGCTTCCTGCCTCTAATAGAACTACCACAGTGATCACACCCCTTTGCCTTATGATGTTACAGGGGCTTCCCTGGTGGCTCAGATGGTAGAGAATCTGCCTGCAATGCAGGGTACCCAGGTTTTATTCCTGGTCTGGAATACCCCCTGGAAGAGGAAATGGCAACCCACTTCAGTATTCTTGCCTGGAGAATCCTACGGACAGAGGAGTCTGGTGGGTTATAGTCCATGGGGTCACAGAGAGCAGGCACAACTGAGTGACTAACACTTTCACTTTTCTTTTGGCTCCCTTTTGAAGCAGAGTGTATTTCTCCATTCTACTGCCATCACCCTGCTTTTGGCCAATGAAGTTGGGTGGAACTCACGTCCAATCTGAAGCTTTAAATGTGTTTGCTCAGCTTGATTTGCTTGCCTGGGCTTCTGCCGTATGGTGGAAAAGAATGTGCCCAGAGAAACCGCTGATCCCAGGAGGAGAAGACACATGGAACAGACCTGACCCTGACTCACAGCCTGAAGCAGAACCATCTCAGCTGTCCCCCAACCCCATGAGTGAGAAAAATAAGTGTTGTGGGTCACCAAGATTTTCTTATGTAGTTTTACTGCAATAGTGGCTAACTAATGTAATACATAAATACCTTGGATAGCTAAGTGATCCCTGAGAGAAGGTAAAAATTGTGTGTACACTCTCAGGGTATGGAAGATTTGAAAATAGATACATTTCAGAGTTTTCAGGAGATACAAGGTAGCTTGAAATTTATGCAGTTTGCAAAAATATTTCCTATTCTATGAGAAAGAGAGAAAGAAAGTGAAGTCGCTCAGTCGTGTCTGACTCTTTGTGACCCCGTGGACTGTAGCCCACCAGGCTCCTCTGTCCATGGGATTTTGCAGGCAAGAGTACTGGAGTGGGTTGCCATTTCCTTCTCCAGAGGACTTTCAAGATCCAGGGATTGAACCTGGGTCTCCTGCATTGCAGGCAGTCGCTTTACCATCTGAGCCACCAGGGAAGCCTATTGTATGAGAAATTTTAGGTATTTCTCCTATAAGCAATGAACTTTCAAGAAAGTATAATAAAAGAGAGAGAGAGGAACAAAAAGTATGGGACACTCTTCATGTTACAAGATATTGGATTGACAGTCACTAGAAGTCTGTCTGTTCTATGATCTGTTGGATCATAGAAAAAGCAAGAGAATCCAAGAAAAACATCTCCTTCTGCTTCACTGACTAGGTGGATCACAACAAACTGTGGAAAATTCTTAAAGAGATGGGAATACCAGACTGCCTTACTTGCCTCCTGAGAAACCTGTATGTAGGTTAAGAAGAAACAGTTAGAACCAGACATGGAACAACAGACTGGTTCCAAATAAGGAAAGGAGTACATCAAGGCTGTATATTGTCAACCTGTTTATTTAACTTACATGCAGAGTACATCATGCGAAATGACAGGCTGGATGAAGCACAAGTTGTGATCAAGATTGACAGGAGAAATATCAATAACCTCAGATATGCAGAAGACACCACCCTTACGGCAGAAAGCAAAGAGGAACTAAAGAGCCTTTTGATGAAAGTGAAAGAGGAGAGTGAAAAAGCTGGCTTAAAACTCCACATTCAGAAAACTAAGATCATGGCATCCAGTCCTATCACTTCATGGCAAATAGATGGAGAAACAATGGAAACAGTGACAGACTTTATTTTCTTGGGTTCCAAAATCACTGCAGATGGTTAACTGCAGCCATGAAATTAAAAGACTCTTGCTCCTTGGAAGAAAAACTATGATAAATCTAGACAGTGCATTAAAAAGCAGAGACATTTCTTTGCCAACAAAGGTCCTTATAGTCAAAGCTATAGTTTTCCCAGTAGTCATGTATGGATGTGACAGTTGAACCATAAAGAAGGCTAAGTAAGCTCCAAGGAATTGACGCTTTTGAACTGTGGCGTTGGAGAAGACTCTTGAGAGTCCCTTGGACAGCAAGGAGATCCAACCAGTTCATCCTAAAGGAAATTAATCCTGAGTATTCATTGGAAAGACTGATACTGAAGCTGAAGCCACAATACTTTGGCCACCTAATGCGAAGAGCTGACTCACTAGAAAAGATCCTGATGCTGGGAAAGATTGAGGGCAGGAGGAGGAGGAGATGACAGAGGATGAGATGGTTCGATGGCATCACCAACTCAATGGATGTGAGTCTGAGCAAGCTCAGGGAGATGGTGAAGGTCAGGGAAGCCTGGAGTGCTGCATTCCATGGGGTCACAAAGAGTCGAACACAACTCAGCAACTGAACAACAACAAAGAAATCTGGTAATGAAACTGCAAAATAAGGATGGAGCAGTAGTGGGTGGGTGAACCCTTTCATGAAAATAGGAACATTCAAATATTTGCTTGTGTGTATCAGGACTATTATAAATTCTGTTATCAGAAACTGCATTGTTATAGCAATTTTTATATAAACAGACAACTAATATACCTCAGAAAGTCTACATTAATGGAAAAGGGGGTTTCTGAGCTGCTATGTTATGTGTGTGGAAGGAAACAAGGGGTTGGAGTCAGACTACCTGAATTTCCCCAGAGGCATCATTTATGCTGTGGTCTACAAGAATGGTGCTCCCTGGAGTTGTGCAGTGCATAACCAATGCAGCAGATCCCGTACAAATCTGAAGGCAATATTATATAACCATATGTCTATGTAACCAACTACAAATGGGGTTACATACATAGTATGCATTTTTCTAGAAGACTATTAACTGAAGAAGTACAGACACCACTTGCTGGAAATTTTATTTACTTATATGGGATGCTGGGTCTTCCTCAGTGGCTCAGCGATAAAGAATCTGCCTACAATGCGGAAGACGCAGGAGACACAGGTTTAATCCCTGGATCGGGAAGACCCGCTGGAAGAGGCCATGACAACCCACCCCAGTATTCTCACCTGGAGAGTCACAAGGACAGAGGAGCCTGGCAGGCTACAGTCCATAGGGTTGCAAAGAGTGGACACAACTGAAGCGACTGAGCATGCATGGGATGCTACTCTTCATGATTCCTCCCAATTATTACTTCAAAGAACCAGAAGCTGGAGGAATACTTTTCAGGGAAAGGAATTTTGGAGTGCCTCTGAAAGACTTTCGAGAGGAGCTGGAGACATTTGATCATGCTTTGAGAGATGGAACAGGAAAACTTTGCGTGTGTGTGTGGTGTGTGTGTGTGCGCGCCTTTAGTGTCTTGATTCAAGTGCTCATGCAAAGCAAATATTGTAGGCACCCATTTCTTGGGACTCCTGCTGCATCCACAAAGAAGTTCGTCGGTAGCTTAGTGTGTGTGCTAAATGAAATTGGAATGCAAGCTGTAGACAGCATGGATGAACTCACTTGATTATCCAGATTTCTCTCTTCCTTTGATTTTTTAATCACTTTTGGCTTTTCAAGTTCACAAAATGTCAAGCTCTTGGCCCAAGTCGAAGTCAGTCTCAAGACCAACAGTGCTGACTTTGATTTTCAGTTTACACATTTGGATGTTTTTTCTATCTCAGTCAAAACCCCTGCTTGCCAAATGCCATCAAACAGAAGTTTGTCATTTTTCCTTTATAACTGTTTTTTTTTTTCCCATTTTAAAAAGGATTGTCAAAGACTGATTATATTTTCTCCTAAGAACCAAAACTTATTTTTAGCAAACTTCAACCTAACCAGTGTTATTTTTAGGTTACCTCCTTTTGGCAGCTCTAAACTGACTTAAATGATGCTTCCTTTGCTTAAAATATTTTGGAAACATACCTCCTTTGGGGAGTGTCTTTATAGATAAAACTGTCTATATTTTTATCTATTTTATTTAAATAAAGTTATATAAATAAACTTACATATTTATGTAAATACCTGGCTTATTTTGGTGGAACACTTATAAAGTATGTGTGCATGTATGCCCAGTCATGTCCAACTCTTTGTGACCCCATGGAGTCCACCAGGCTTCTCTGTCCATAGGATTTTCCAGCAAGAATGCTGGAGTGGATTGCCATTTCCTCTGCCAGGGGATCTTCCCAACCCAGAGATCGAACCTGTGTCTCCTGCATTGGTTGGACTGATTCTTTACCACTGAGCCACCTGGGAAGCCCTTATAAACTGTAGGGTCTTGAAAAAGTAGGTTAACTAGTTCTCTCACTGTTTAATTCTCTGTAACCTGTTAGTTTAAGTATGTGTAAGATAAGGTTAATAATTTTTCCATACCTCTCTGATATTTGGTGACTATCAAACGGAATGATTAAGCTTAGTAAATATCAATGCAACACTTATTGATCATGACTGTGAAATGCTTCTGCTAGGATTCTTTGTTTTGCTTTGTCTGGCTCCATTATTTCTCCCTCCTTTGCCATTTGTGCTAACTATACAACTCTCTCCAATAAGCCCTCACTTTGAAGACAGACTGATCAGCCACAGGAAAAGGCCTCCAGTATGAAAAGAAACTGTGGAAACAGATTGAGAGGGAGCACTAGAGCACATATGGAAGCTGACTAGCTGATAGAACTTTAATTGTGTGCTGCCTTTCTGCTATAAATGCCTTAAGTTGATAAGAGATGTTTAATTGGCTGAACACTGTAAATGTAAATTGCCAAAGTTAAATTGCAGCAAAGCAGGGAGGACAAGGGTACACAAAATGCCTTGCAATCTTTTGTAATTTAGCTTGTCACTAAGTAGGAAAGTAAATACTAAGTTTCTAGCCCAGTAGCTTCGCAGTTATTTTCTTTCCAGCCAGATGGAAACTCCAGTGGCTTAAATCTTCAT